ACATGCTTTGGAGGGCAGACGAGGCAGTCATTCAATAGCAAGGGCTACGCTTGTCCAGAAATCCTCTGCTGACTCTTAAAGTCTCCTTGGTTTTGCATTTTTCAGCCCCAGACTCCCAGCAACAAGCCAGCAGCCTCTGTGACCACCTCTGGAAGCTCCTGGACCTCTTGGGCATTGTACATCCTGTTACCATTCTTGCTCCCCTTGACAGGGGCAAGGCCAAGAGAGAGCCATCAGGGAGCTGCAAGGGGAATAGGTGCACCTCGGTGTAGCCTCTGACAGAGCCCAATGGAATCCCCACTTCAGGACCTAACCCTGCTGCTGTTTTTGCACACTGATATTTATATTTTTTTTTTTTCTGCAAGATAGAAGGCAACTGTCTATAACAAAAGGTGTGGCTACTGCTCTATCCTGTTGTAGTAACTAAAGGGTGCAGGTTTTTCTGTTTCCTGAGTCCATCCCTGCAGAGACAGCACTAAAGATGAAAAGACTCCAAGATACTGCTACAAGACCAAAAACTAGGAGCTTTTTCTACTTAACTGCAATGTTCTTTGTGTGACAAAGGTGTGGTGGGCCAACTTGTACACCTGGAGTGACTGTGATGGACAGGTACTGTCTCTTCAGGAGAAGACAAAGAAGATGAGGGAGCAAGGGCTTGTTTGTGCAAAGCAACAGCTTGGGTATAACTAGCTTCTCAGTGGGGTGGATGATTGGCTGGTGGAGAGCTTGGAGGTCAGAGAAAAGACCTGTAAAGGCAACGTCATGGTGGGGGGGTGTTAGAGGCATCCCATCATGGTGAGTAAGTGGAAGAAGCCTTCTTCAAAGCCTCTGAGTCACAGACCTTGGTTCTCATGGAGGAGTTTAACCTCCCTTGATAGCTGCTGGAAGATCAGCGTGGTGGGACATGAGCAGTCTAGGAGGTTTCTAGAGGGTGTCAGGAATAACATATTGAAACAGGTACTGGCTGGGCCAACCAACAGTGACCCACAGCTGCATCTGTTCTTCACTGATATGGAAGAATAGGTTGAAGATGTGGAAATCAGCAACAGCCATGACTATGGTAACTATGAAATGGTGGGGTGTAAGATCCTGAATGCAGTGAGGAAGGAGAGCAGCAGAGGGCAGACCCAGGTCTTTGGAAGAGTGTATTTGAGCTCATTTAGGAAACTAGTAAGTGGGATGCCAAGGGAGGCAGCTCTGAAGGGCAAAGTTGCTCAGGAAAGCTGGCAGACCTTTAAGGACTTGCATGCCCCAAATGCAAGAACAGCCCATTCCAGTATTCATGAAGACAAGCAGATGTATCAGGAGAGTGTTTTGGCTGAGCAGAGAGCTCATGATGGAGCTCCAATGCAAAAAGGCATCATGCAGTGATGCAATGGAAGCAGGGACATGCTGCATCAACATTTAGGAATATTACCCAGGCATGTCAGGATGGTGTCAGGGAAGCTGAAGCATGCCTAGACCTGACACTTCCAGGTGAATAGTAATAGGATAATAGGAAGGGCTTCTACAGCTCCATCCATTTTCCTTGTTGAACAAGGAAAATATTGGTCATTGTTGAGCGGTGGATTAGTGACAGTGGACACACACAAGACTGAGCTAGGTGTCTTCTTTGCCTCTTTACTAAATGTGACCCTTGTGCTACTCTCTATGCTAATAATCTAGGTTACTATGAAGGTTACTATGAAGTAAGCTATCACATTCATGAATTGTGTTATTGTTAAAACATTTATGTTTACCATTTTTAACAGGTCTTGTGTACTCATAAAGGCAACATCTGGAAACAGGAGGAAAAGAAATGGAAAAATAATATTGCTAGTTTTATTTTTACTCCAGTTCTTATTCTCTTAACTTAGATAATAATAGGAGTAGACCGAAGTTTAAGCTGTATTTCTGCATTGGCAGAAAAAAAGAACAAACATGCAGGGGCTTCCTGGTGATGGCTGAAACTCTCCCGCTTGTGGAGATCAATTTTCCACTGAAATGTTTTATCGAGGGCAGAACCCTTTACACAACAACACCTCATTGTTTCTCTACCAAGATCCAACCCTGCAGCCATAAGCGATTGCAAGCCCACTGAATTCCTTCCACAGAGTTCAACGGGCTTCGAAGTAGACCCTGGAGCTTTAAATAATTACAGTTGGCTTTCCTGAAAAGTTAGATGCTCCTCTTCCCCTCTCCGAGCCTCCCACTTCTCCTACGCGGATGCTGGAGGGTCCCAGTTCAAGCACTGTGGGCCAGTCCTGAGAGCAGGCGTGCTCTGGGATAATACGAGGCGCTCCTGCCCTGGCTGCAGTGAGGCGTCTACCTAGCACTGCACATCTGTGCACACCTTGTGGGCTTTGTGGGGGGACTTCAGTGGGTGACCCTGAGTGCACTGTCCCCACTCTGTGCACAGGAGTTTTGAAGGGGGAGAATGGGAGCCCCCCAGGTTCAAGAATTCAGGAGGAAGCACATTAGGGAATTGAAGCAGATTTTACAAAGGAGAAGGGGAAATATTTGACAGATAGGAAAAGGCAAAAGTGCTCCTTCAGGTGCAAGGTATGGGATGAGAGGCGATGCAAAAATGAGTGGGACAAAGTGTGAGAGGCCATGAGCCTTGCAAGCTGCTTGCTCTGATGTCCCAGGGATGCGTCTTGCTTTTAAATCTCCTTCCACTTCCTGAGCTGCGAGGAGTGAGGTCACTTTCTTAGAAAATTTCCTAGGACTAGAGCCCAGCACATGAAAGTCCTGTTAAAATATACAAGCTTGCTGCACTAAGCCCATAATTTTAACAGGTCGGTTGGTTTAACAAGACCTATTTCAGAGTGCAGACCTACGTTCTGAAATATGTTTTGGATTAGTGTGGTGGAAATGCGTTGGTTTTATAGGTCAATTCTCTACTGTAAATTGCTTCTCACTTGTAATGGATTTTTATCCTCTACCAGGTTTAGTCTTTTAACAGGAATTCATTGGACGGACACACAAGTCATTCCATCTCAAAATAAAAGCTGCTTCATGATGCTAACAATAATAGAGGACTTTATGCTAAGGGCTGGATCCTCAGCATCAGTAGAGGGGTTATTCACACTTGCCCATACCCTTTTCTTCCCTGTGTAGCTGTATTAGGACCTCATATATCCCCTGGAAGATGTGCATGCTTCCTTGTGCCGAGGGGCTCTCCACCTTGCCGGTCAGAGCAGCTGTGGACTGCAGGAAATGGGTGAAACAAGGTTGAGGGAACTTCATCCTAAATACTTAGCTTTGGGCCAACATGGTCCTTGCTTTTTTTTTTTTTTTTTTTTTTTTTTTTCCAGGCTTCAGATGGATGGGAATCACATCACCTAGCTCAAGTAGCCTGCATGTGAGATGCTGCCTGGTGGCAGCATCAGGGACCCCAGCAGGTGATGACTGATCTTCCCCACTTGCCTTACGCTCCTGCCTTGCGGTATGGGGTGGATTGTTCTCAGGAGAAGCTTTATCTTTCTCTGTGGGCTACAAAATGTAGCTTGATCTGGACCAACCATAAATAGTCTAACATTAGCTGAAACAAACCCCATCCTCTGCTGTTGGCCTCTCACTCCCTTTTTTTGGCCTAGGACTGTGGCATCTGTCATACAAGGGGTGGAGTCTTTTGACTGTGGTAGAAATGCAGCTGGGAATTCATTGAGGAACAATAATGTATGGACAAGTGGTTCACAGACTGTTCCTTTACCTCTTCAAAACTCTAGCAACATGTAGGATTTGATATGGGAGCATTATATGCAGACACCTTTCAATTATGTCTTTATTTCTTTACACTGTGCTTACTGTATATCACTAATGTTTTCCTGCAGGTACAGCTTCTCCAAGTAAGTGGAATGTTTTTGTGGACTAGTGAAATTGTTCCAAAAGCCCAGATGCAGGGGACTGAAACTATTTACTCAATTAAGACAAAGGAAACAACCTCTCCACCCCCAAAATATAAAGTGCTAGTTTCTACCGCTTTGGAAGCAAAACATTTCAGTTTCTCATTAGGAAATGACATTTGGAATGTTGGCTAGTATTTATTAAGAAAGAAAGAGAAAGAAAAAAAGAAAAAAAGAAAAAAAGAAAAAAAGAAAAAAAGAAAAAAAGAAAAAAAGAAAGAAAAACAACAGCCTCAGAATGAGGAAAAAAGTTTTAATTGCAGGTTAGACAGAGCATTCTGCATTGATACAAAATAAGCTTTCTGTTTTGGTTAGAAGAATTTTTTTTTTCTTTCATTCCTATTTTTTTTTCAGATTTGACCACCACTGAACCAAAAAATAAAAATAAAAATAAATCTGTTGTGCCCTGAGCTCAAGTTTATGTTGTGAATGCTAATGGCCACAGGAAGAATAGCTCAATGTAAATAAGTTACGTTTTCAAAATTAATGAGGTCTGCTAATTGAGTTTATCCAGGTAATAAAACCCATCTAATAAAATGTATCCATCAAATATAATTCTTCCAGTTCTATAAAAAATATATGTTTCTTTGCCTGTATATCATCTGTGTGGAGATAATGAATACCTTGTGACATTGGGGTCATAGGTCAAATCCCAGACCTTATTACAAATCTAGGGAAAATTACCTTTTCGCTGACCTATAGTACGACCTAATAGTCTAGGAGGAGTTAAAGGCCAATTGTTCATTCAGCATTGCCAAATAATATATATATAAGTGTATATATATATTTAATAACACTGATGCAATGAAAACTTACTGCTGTAGATATGGATTTACAGCACGTCCACAGGGATTTCTCATGCAGATCTCAAGATGTCAAAAAACAACATAACAGCAACACTCTGAAGTGCATGTTTGAAATGAATGATGACAGACCTTGGCGTGTGGGGTAGGGTTTTATTGTTCCTCCAGTGATTTGCAATAGACCCGAGAAGTGCATCTTTAACAGCTCAAGACGACAAGCCTCTCTCACACATTTAAGGATGTGGGTTAATTGCTGCTACTTTTGCTGGCTGCAGGGAGAGGAGGTGCTCAGGGGTGCCACTCCATGCAGCAATGCCATAAGCCCTTCCAGTAGATCCCAGCTCTCCCTTGCCGCAGCTTCCAGGTGGTGCTGGAGCTGGGACTGGGCTGAAAGACTGAGCTAAGGAGACAGCCCAGGGTCTTCAAAAACCCTTGGAAAGGGTTTTTGTGTTCTATATGTGTTCTTTACACTGCTTTACAGGAAGGCCCCTCAAACAGCTGCGGTGGAAAGTAGCAAGGAGCATGGTGACCTGTGTGGTATGCAGGACCAAGCTATGCCCTAAGAGGTTATTCAGCTCTCTGGCCAAAGAGTTTGGCTTTCACATGAAGAAGAGGGAGAAAGCTGTCTTTTCTGTGGCTGAAAATACTGTCCAGTATCAATTATTATGAGGCCTTTTATAACAGCCTTATGCAGTCAGGATGGGGGAGTTTTAAATAGTCACAGCTGTTCTCCACATTCATTTGCTCCCTTCTTTAAAGGCTCAGCCCCATTCCCAGCATGTAGGTCATTCACACGTCTTTCTCGGTGAGCTTTTCTCCTGATTCCTTTCCAACCAGCCACACAGTCACTTCTCCCGTACTTCCCTGCATGGTCATGTTGAGCAGCATCCTGCGTGCTTGAGCTAGCCTTGATTTGCAGGTCTGCTGCCCGGTAATGACTGACAAACAGGCCACAGATTACTTCCATTTTATGACTTGAGTTTAGGGAAATTGAGCATCCTAATTAAGCACAGATGTAAGGTTAAAGTGTAGAACAATCTGGACTGGTTTTCATTTAAGTCCCTTTCTGATTCATTTGGTTCCATAAGAGAGTCACAATTAGAAAAAAATATTTTGTCAATGTTGAAAGACATGTGATGTAGAACTGATTGGATTAAATCTGAGTTCATGTGAATTTTGGCAAATTCAATTAGGAGAGGCCCTTGCAAGTACTCTGTGGAAAACCTCCAATGGCTTTGCAAACTGTATTTGGATTTTCCAGTCCATAACGCTGCATGTGTTGACAGCGCGCCATCCCGGCATAATGTGCGAGCATTACAAACAAGTTTCTTTGCTTTGCAGGAACTGTAAGGTCAGACATGGAGCGAGACTGCAAACCCAGTCGCCTGTGAGGCTTCCCAGACCATGCAAAATGCCAGGTGAGCATGCTTTGGGGGGCAATGTGAGGACAGATTGTGTTGGGCTGCATCAAATGGGGCTGGTTTCTGGTGCAACAGAAGTCCGAGGCTGGGTGGGAGAATTTTCTGAAGCAGGGAGTCCTTCTTGTGCCATCATTTGTCTCGCAGCTAGTGCAGAGGGACCCTAATTTCTGGCTGCAGTCTCTGTTTGCAACCACCATGACCAAGTTTTTGTACGTGGTACTAAAATGTCTCATGAAATGTGTTTCTGGGTCTGAAAACTGTGGGTCTGATCCTGCTGCTTTTTGACAGTTGTCTGGTTGCTCCTCACTTTGGTTCGTAGCCCTTGTGTGGGGAAAATACTTGCAGAAGTTCCTGTGTCAAGCCAGATCTACTCTGGGGGAGAGTTGGCTGAGTTTTGTCCAAACCCAACTTTGCTCCCCCCAGCCTCTCCTCCCCATGCAGACACATACGTATCCCTGCTAGAGGTAATGAGCCTGAAACAGTTTTATTTTCTGACTTTCTTCAAGATAAAATCCAGCTCCTGGCTTTCCCCACAATAGGCAGGAATGTGCATCAACTTTAATACCAGTAACACATGTCGTAGGCTTATATTATTTTTAATAACCCTTTGTTCTGTCTGTGCTGGCAAAACATGATCACCAGGGCTCCTTTGGCTTGATAACTGCTCTGAACAAACCAACAGGCAAGCAGGCACAGCCTTGTTTGTGAAAAGCAGTTATTTTCCTTTCCTTAGAAATGCAATGTTTTGTTATCGATGCAAAATGGATTTGCTTCTCCCTGCTCTCTCTTCTTGTCATGAGCTGGATAGCATGGCAAACAACAGAAACAATAATAAAAAAAACATCAACAAAACAATAAAAACAGCACGTAAAAATGGACCCCTGCAATACAGTCAAAATAGAAAGCAGGGAGAAAGCTTGATGAGAGAACCACGAATTTTGTTGGCCGTTTCCCATCTCTCCCCATAGTGGGGGATTGTCCCATGTGTCTGACAGGGGTAAAGTCCCTTTTTACTGCAGCTTTCTGAGAAGCCCCTAGCTGTGTCAGCTTTGCCTAAGAGCTTGAAGTGTTTTCAGAAGCTTTAGAAATACTTGCTGCTTTTTGATGCAATTTACAGAGCCTCTTCTTCTTTCTTTTTCCTGTGTAAAATATGGAAAGAACAAAGTCACTTCACGAGTGTCCTGAAAACAAAGAAAGCAAAGCACACACACACACACATACCGAAATGAGAACCCCCTGAAACCAGCAGCCGAGGATATCTGAGCCCTGACGTAGCAGCCATGTGGGCTAGAGCAGCTGTGGCTGCAGATCCAGCTTCCTCGAGACGTGCACAAGATTCAGACAAGCCCAAATCCATGGTTGAGGCTCCTGAGCAGGCTGGGTGTATTCACAGTGTTACCTCCCATCTCCTGCAGTTCTAGCAGCTGGCAGTGAGGAGAAACTTGTGCCTTGTCCCCACTCAGAGTCCCCCAAATCAAAGCTGATTCTGTTTATGTCTTGTCAAAATGTTACACCGCGTGATTCTGCCAGCAGCAAGAGCTGTTTATGTTGACCCTTTCCAGTGCAGGTCTCTTCTTCCGCATGTATACCGGTGTTGGCTCGTGCACTGCAGTTCATGAGAAAGTGTGGTAGTTCAGTATGCTGATGCATCTCAGACTCCTGCTCTTTAATGGCAGCTCTCCCTCACAGCACAATTTTCCCTCTTGGAGGAAATTCTGGGCTCCACTGAGTCAGTGGGAATTTTGCCTTTTCCTTTCATCCAGCCAAGATTTCCTCCATCATCATCAGATAGCATCGTGAATTTGCTCCTCCTTTCATCATCTCTGCCTGTTCTGGAACTTGCTTTCTGTGCTCCTCAAGTCCTATTGTCGAGCTGTTCCAATGCCCTTCCCCTTAAATGCCGTACTGTGGTCAAAAGTCCTTGTAGGAAAGCCCAGGGAAATTTTCTCTGGATAACCTTAAAATAATACATGCAATCTTCTGCAATCTGGTATACCACAAGGCAGAAGAGGAAATTATACTTGGGCCTTTTGTACCATTAGAAGTGACATAGGGATTAATCCTTCAGACTTAGGTGGAATCTGATCTGTCTCTTCCACCACTCTACATTTTGGATGCATAATTATGTCTCTGTGGGGAGACCAGGGATAGATTCTATATGACACAATTATTCTTCCCCTTGTCCGGCCATCACAAACAATGAGGCCAACTTTCTTGATACTTCTTTGGAAGTGTGCATGCAAATCCCATTAGCAAATTAAACGCTACAAGGAAAATCATCTTGAAGCCTTGCTGTAGTTGTTGAGGAGCCAAGCTGGGTCATATTGCAAACTTGAAAAGAAAATGACTAAGCTAGTGATCTCTGTTTTGGAAATAAAGTTTTGTGAATATGTGAATTATTCAATTATGTCTTACTGAGCTGTGGGTCGTTAAGTTATTTTGTTTTGAGGTACTTTTACAAACCCTCTGTAGACAAACCAGTTCATATTGGTATAGTCTTAAAATGTTATTGTTAAAATGATGTGTGAAATGTTACTTTTTTTTTTTTTCTTCTTTTCTTATAGTGCTGTTGTGGGATTCTATAGAATTAGCAAATGTGAAGCCACTGCTTGCCTCTCCCATAGTTTGAGGAGATAGATTTTGGAGTTACTTGCCCAAAATGACAGCAATGCTATATCTTCCACAAATCAGTTTCTGCATCAGACAGCTGAGTTTTATGAACCTAGTATTTATTAAGTCAATGGACATTGCTTCTGAAGCAAGGCTGAGGCACTCAGGTGCACTGACAGCATCCGCTTCTCAAAACCAACTTAAGTACTTGACCTTAAAACTTAGCACCACCTGTGGACCACTGGTGGACAGGAGGAACCCCTGAAGCACAGCTCGGTTCAGCAGCATGGGGGGAACATACCTAGGTCAACAACCTTCCCTCCCCCTTTCCCTCCACCCCTGTGAGATGTTACATAGTGCCGTCTAAATATCTTAAATCTGGCTCTGGTGTCCTTCACTGCAGAATGTTGTTTCTAGAAAATGTGCCTCTCAGAGGCACTGAGATGGATATCCATCCAACTTGCATGGGTTTTGCATGGCTATGAAGTCCGTGATCAAAATTTGTCCAGGAGGACATGATTTTAATCCTGTTTGGAAATGACAGAGGAAACAAAATAACCACTGTTATTATCATAAACACACAAAACCTGTGCCACAGCTGCCATGCCAACAGACTTCAACACATTCAGTGTTGAATCCTTGTACGTTAGGCTTGTTCACTTATTTATGCCCAAAATCAAGCTTCAAGCCATGCATCTCCCTGCTTGTAGTGTGACTTGGTGCAATTCTGCTATATTAATTTCAGACTCATTAAGAAAAACTCCAAGCATCATATTACTCTGTGCATTGCATATGTACATGGTAGCAGCTGATGAAGTATTCCAGGAAGGAAGGGGAAATCTGCAGCCTTGTTAACTAACATTTTTGAAATGAGAGGGAGAAAAAATCTCAGCTGGAAGCGTGGATCTGTCTATTTACCACCATAAAATGGATCCTTCCCAGTGCCTTTGCAAACATGCAAAGAAGCAGGGCAAAAACTCTCCTAAAAATAGCTTGGATTAACTAGCTTGGAGATTTACCAACCTTGCTAATTCCAGGGAACTGGTGAGAAATTTTCCATATAAATTGGAAAATATCTGAAAGGAATTAAAATGTTGCCAAAATGTTAGCAAATTCTTCATGCCCAGCCTCTGTTTTCCTGTAGTTCTCCTTGGGCCTGACTCACCTCCTCCTGGAATCACTGGACATCCTTCTCCTGAGTTTGTTGGAAGCTTATCTGGTCGTGTACATTTTACTTTGAATTTCTGAGAAATTTATGTACAATGCTGTGAGTTGATGTAGAAGTAAACATTTATTGTATAGAGAATAAATACTGAAAAGCAATGTTATTTTATGGAAAAATCATTCTGCTGGAGACACTATACACACAATCTAATACAACTCTTAGGAACACATAAGAGAAACATGGGGTTCCTTCACTTTGGGGTGAATTTCACATGTAAGACCTCAGCTACACTGACATCATACTATGAAGCAACCTATTGTAAACATTTTGCATTGAAAACAAAAGGTAGAACTTCATTGAAATAATCATAAAACTACTTTTCCTATACTAACTACAGCTGTGGGGCATGTTTCTATGGAAACAGTTTTCCTTATGTGCTTCTCTATAGCTAAAGGTCTCAAATGGACCTTCTGTCTACTCATTGCCTGTATAAACTGCAGATTCTGTACAATAATCTCTAACACAGATCAGCTGAATCTCCTGATATGTGTCAGAAAACATTATCAGGAGGCAAACACCAGTTATTGCAGGTTCCCATAAATTTATAGATAATCAGGTCCTTAGTGGCGAGTTGGCATCTTCAGTGTAAGGACTGTATTGAGGAGTTCTGATTAGAGGTCATTGTCCTACCCAAAGATGTAACACAGCCAGGAATTCTGTGGCTTCACCTTTGCTGTACAAAGATTTATGTTGCTTTGATTTGAATAATTTATGCTGCATACTGCATTCTAGATACCAGAAGCTGAAAACAATTTGTTCTTTGTTGACATAAGTAAAACACTCACAAAATAGGTGATTAAATGAACCACGCGCTTTTAATATTTTTTATTGTAAACCATCCTTGTAGGAAGAGAAGGCGTAAGTAAAGCTGATATTTGTTCGGTGACACCTGACAGCATCAGCTAGTTGGTAGATAAAGCCATGTAGATTGTGAAATAGCTTCTCTTTAAAAATACAGGATACATTTTTTTAGGGATGCTCAGGTTATAAACTACTAATCTGTACAGTGTAAGCTATCTCTTTATATTTTTCACATTCAGAGATACTTCAGTGTGAAGGTATATAGATGCAGTTGTTTTTATGTGCATATTTTCTCTGCATACATGTAGTATTCTCTGTAAGAATAATGCAGATTCAGTTGGGGTGTAGAGACTGTGATACCTACATGACTGGATATTATTGACTTCAGCGGAAGGCAATAAGTACATCCACATTTATTACAACAACCAAAAGAGTTTCTTTTCAAACTGTGGGATGTTATCATTGATAGAACATGGGCCATGGTCATGCATTTGGTTGCCAGAATACAAATGTGATATAACTACTCCTAATCAATTTTGAAGGCAGCAGGGGGTAACTTTAGAGTTCTTTGTATTGCACAGGAGGGTAAGACCCATCTTACCCTGCTTTGGAGTTAAGCCTGATGCCAGAAGAGTTGATTAGGATTACTCTGGAGTCAGCAAAGAAGGACCTCAGAAAGGGAACTCTCTCTCTGAGGCATGCAACATGGGAGGAGATGGGTGGAATAAATGAAACAGGACAAATTCCCTCATAGGGGAGACAGCTTCTGTGTGCAGCATAGAAGAGGCTGCCCACACTACCAGCTTTAACTGGGCACCTGACTCTTGGATAAGTATATTTAGCTGACATGCATACAGTCATGCAACTACTTTTCATTACCTGATACCTCCAATGTCACATTTTAAGATGTGATTAATTTATGCATTTAATTTTAAATCAACTTCACTTTTCATCAGATACATTCTCAGTTTACACTTCACTCAGTTCAGACAAAATAAACTAGAAAGTCTGATATTTTACTTAAAAATTTCCTCTTTCTGGTTCCATTCTGTGCCACAGTGTTTTTGGACACTGATGGGAGACTTTTACAGTGTTTATTTTACACATAGTAAAAAGCAGACAAGTCTGTATCCTATCCGAGTAAGTGTGGTTGGGTTAACCTGCATGGCTGGGCATGCTGCATTTGGGTAAGGGGTAGCAGAACGAAGTGAGAAAGAATGAAATCAGGGTGAGCCCCAGCCTACTTCTTGCCACTTTCTGGGAACATTTGGGGATTGAAAACAATGTCCTGTTAATATCTCCTGTGCAGCCCCCACATGCGGTTCCTGTTGCCATCATTCAATATTATCAGCCATGGACTGGGAGGAGAAATTCATGTTATAAAAATGGTTACAGATTTCCTGAACTCACCACTATTATGACTGTTTATACTAGACCAAAGTGTGCCCAAAATAACCAGGGGTTGCTGTAAGCATTTTGGGATCAGTCTGTGGCCTTTTAAAGGATTTTGAATGTGCTGTAATTCCATTTATTCTCATGGAATTTCACTGGATTTTTACCTGGGTCCTCAAACCATTTTTTTTTTTTCCCCACCTTTCTCCCGTAAAATTAATTCCATTGCTGTTGCTATTGTTTGGATAGGTAGGGTTACCAGATGAACATTCTGAAGTGTGTGGAGACCTGAAAGAGCACATTCAGATCAGGGAAACGCTGCAGAGCATATCAAGGGTGGTGGACCATATTGGACCAAATAAAGGAAAATCTGTGGAAAAAGGGGATCCTGTTCAAGAGGATTTTTGTCAGGAAGACAGAAGAAACTTAAATAGACAGACAATTAAAAAAAATAAAACTCCTCTTGCCTTCTCAGTTTATCTTTTCTGTTTCAGTACCAGATACTTTTCAGCCATTATACACCAGCCATCTGAGAATACCTCAGCCTGTTGAAACATCTCAGAACTGTGTTACAGGTGGGATGTATTGAAACGTTAAGTACTTGTTCATTATTTTTTATTAGGGATTACTGGCTGATGAGATACAAGTACAGACAGATTACAGACAATCATTACAAATACATGTCACATCAATACACAATACAATCAATACACAGTACACATTGTTAGGTCTCACTTGTTTCACCTTCAGGCTGAAGAGTCCAATACTCTTATCTCCAGACCTGTGCAAGAGGTGTATTAAGGAGATATGGCCTAACACTGAAGCATTTGCTATCCTGCAGGGTGCTTTTTTATTGATTTTTTTTCCTCATTATTGTTAACATATCCTTATATAGGCATGTCTATTGAAGCTGTAGCTAAGCTCCATGCACCTGCTTGGGCTTGCTTCCCTTCTCCCAGCAGTCAAAGTAAATTTCCGCTAGGGTTAAATGCAAAGAAAATGAATAAGCTAGGAAAACTGCATTAAAAAGAAGGCTCTTTGGAGCTGAGCAGTGAGAGACAGAACCACCTCTGTTCCATAGCCCTCTTTGTCCTTGACAGAAGCCAATTTTGCAGGACATACTTCTCAATCTGAGCACTGGCATGTGGGGTCACTGAGCACTGCATGTAAACTCTCTTTCCCTTAACCCACATGATGGGAAGCCTGTTCACCTCTTGAGCTGTGTCTCCTCTGGTTCCCATTCTCTTTAACACTGGTGTTTTACCAGCATTGCGGATCTGCCTTTTCCACATGAAGTGGCATTTTGCTGATATTGTTTGTTTCCATCATTTATAAGTGCTCCTTTCCGCTATCGCTTTAACACCAACCACGTCAGCATGCATTTAAGCCATCAACACCTGTATCTCAACTCACCCTTTGAATTATGGAAGAGTTGTAAGGGCTGCCTATCAGAATGGCATCTTTATTAATCAGCCTTTTAATTTCACAGTGTATTGCTGCTAGAAGTGAAGAGAAGCCTGATTTGGATTTGGCTAAACCTATTCTAACTGCAGTCTTTACAAAGGAAAGCACCACACAAAAATGTAAGTATTGGGCAAGAAATAATCATATTTACAGTTAAGGACCATTTTTTCTATTCCAAGCACATCCAGCCCTTTCCTTTCTCTTTGTAGTGACATGCAGTTTTTAGGTGGTTGCTCTCACTGCAGCTGTTTGTTTTCTGTGGGATGGAGGAACCTGAACAAACTTCCTTTTAAAACCTCTGTCCCAAATTTTGGTCTATTTGTTCTCTTCTCTGCCAATTAAGGTAGTATGTTGTTGCAGCCTTGTAGCACCAACATAGCAGAGCTCAGGGTGAGACCTTACAGGACAGGGAGGTGATTTTACCTCAGAGCAGTTTTGCTGGCTCACACTCTCACACCTGCATACTCCCGTGCTCCACGTCACGCATCCACGTGGCCCAGCTAGCAATCCTGTGGCAACAAACAGGGCAAGAAATGCTGCCTGGACACTCCTCTTCACATCTCTTGGGGTTTTAGATTGGTGATCATGTTCTGGTTTTGGATGTACCCCCTTTTAGGCATTGTCAGTGGTTACCCTCTTTTCTCTTTCCTTCTTGTCCCACCACTGTTGTCGTTAGGATTTATTCTCCCACCTTTGTCACTTTCTGGGTGTTTTGAGGCTTTGGTCCCATTCTGGTCCCTGTTGTCTTCATCTGTCTTATGGCTGGAGGGGATGGAGAGGACCTGGTTACCGGGGGTACCTAATTCAGGTACGGACATCAGGCAGCTGATAGCTGTAGGCTTTCTGTATGTAGGTATTCTCCATTAGGGGGAGAATCAGGAAAAGACCATAAATTAGACACAGAATTTACTGCTTGAGGCACCTGTCCCAGCCACTGGGTGAGGTTGTGAGGCAGTGAGTCTAGCCTCAGGAGGGAAGGATGGGAGCTTGGTGTTAAACTCATCCGGCATGAATGTCTGTCCAGGCTCTCAGCTTGGACTCCTGAACATAAATGGGGAGAATGGCATATGAACCCACCTGAAAATGTCAGGACTTTGAAAACATCTAGTAAGGCAGGCAGACAAATACTAAGTATTTCAGATGTGGCAATGCACCTAAATTCACTTTCCACAGACAAGTGTTGGGCAGCTCCACCATGAGCATCTCACCCAGGCCTGCTGTGTACTCTTGGCTCTGGTCTGGGGGTGGTGGTGGCACTGGTGGCTTTGACGTTTTGCAACAGGGATTTATGGCCCGTGCATGCATCAGAAGCATGGTAAATTCTGAGCTGTGATTTTTAGGATGGTAGGAATAGGATGATAATTCAGGTAGGAAAAGACTGTAGGTCACCTAGTCCAACTCTAAGCAGAGTCAGGTCTGCAACTGAGATATCTACTTTTACAGATGCATATGTTTTCTAAGACTCATTTTGTTTCTTTTGAAGAACATGATTATGGAGACTATATGTATTTTCCTAGTGAATATTGATTCTTCCCTCTGTACAGTACACTTGCTTAACACTTAATTGATGTGAATTAAGGAGTCCATATAAATTATTATTAATAAAGTTATAATTTAAGCAAACGGAGAGAGCACTACTGATATATAAATAGCTTTGTTTGGCAAATGAATTTCAGAGGTTTTGATGATCATTTTGGAAAGTCATTCTTTGTCATTCTTTACATTGAAAAAGGCTTCCAGTAGCAGAGCTAAGTCTGACATCTTCCTTTCAGCTTGGCAAGTAGGGGAACCATTAGGTCACCTGGCTTGCAGCACTCATCTGACTTGGAGGCAGAAAAAACTGGTGACTGTTGAGCCTTGTTACTGATCGATTGTCTAATAAAAAATAAAACTGAAGCAATGTTAAGAAACGTCTGTTCAACCACCACT